CCTTCCTCACTTAAATCCAATTCACTTGCCAGTCATGGCATCACCTTCCTGACGTAACGGTCCTGTTCGAGGATGAAAGACAAACAACAACAAGGATGACCCCAAGGATTTCTGATATCCAGAATATGTGTGACCAGAAAAGCAGCAGAGAGGGCTGCTCATGTAGCAAAAGGAAGGAATGTCAGATAGACAGCCTGTGAGCTTCATTGACATATGGTCTAGATATTAAAAGAACCAGACAGGCCTGGTTTTGCCTATATAATATTAGATGAAGAATTTAGAGAAAAAAAGTCATGCACAGAATGCTTTCCTTTCTAGGTAGAGTGGTTACAACCTTCGCTAGGGGGTACAACCCCCACCTTGATAAGATTACAGATCCAAGTCAGTTTCCCCACATCCCTGAACACAGTGTTAGGCACAGAGTAGAACCTTAACAAATAGTCCTGGGGTTCGAAGTGAGACAGTACCTACAAAAGGTATGCCAGGGTCTTTGAGTCAAAGCCAAAAAGCTGAGGTTTGCTGGAAGCTTTTGACCCAGAAAACAACAACAACAACAATAATAATAATTTGTAGGATAGTGGGGTGGTTTGCCATTTTCTTCTCCAGCTCATTTTATAGATGAGGAAACTGAGGCAAACTTGCCCAGGGTCCCATAGCTAGTAAATGTCTAAGGCTGGATTTGAACTCAAGAAGATGCAAAGTGCTTTACAACGATCATCTCATTTTATCCTTACAACAACCCTGAAAGTTAGGTGCTATTGTTATCTCCATTTTACAGATTAAGAAACTGAGGCAGACAGAGGTTAAATGACTTGCCCAGGGGCATACAGCTAGTAAGTATCTGAGGTTGGATTTGGATTCAGGTCTTCCTGATTTAGGTTCACTATACCACCCTCTCTCCTTCCCCACTCAGTCTATTTTTAGGAATGATCCCACCATATATGGACTGCTTAAGTTAATGGTTAATACCAAGCAAAGATGGAGACCACTGACTTCTCTCTCAAATGCAGACAAAGGAAAGGTTGTTTTCTCTAGACATGGATGATTTGAGGAATGAGAAATAGGAATGAATATCTCCAAATTCACTGACTGAAAGAATTGTCTCCCTATCTCTGTCTCTTTCTCTGTTTCTCTGTCTGCTTTTATATATTTTCTCTCCTACTTTCTTCTTCTCTCTATGTGTCTTTTTCTATCTCTACCTCCTCTCATTTTTCTTTCTCTTTCTTTGTCATGTTTCCTTCTCCTTCTTCCTCATTTTTCTATCCCTTTCTAGTTTTACTCTTCGGTTCTTGCTCTGTTTCTCTCCCTCCATTGCAGTGATCTGTGGTTGGGTAGCATATACATTCCTAACCCTGCACAGTAATGGAATTGATGGAAGCTGCCCCAGGAATGTCCAAAATTATATGAAGATGCCATAGTGGAAATGAAGGGGAAACCCTACAATATTCCTGGAAGTTAAGATTTTGGACATCAAGTTAGGTAATAAATGATGGACGAAGCCAAAGAAATTGAGGGGAAAAGAGAAAACACACTGAGGGGAAAACAGGCTGAGCACATTGTGTCCTTCCTGGACCATTACTTCTACCAGGGTGTGTGTCTTCTGTGGTTGGAAAAGCTGAATGAAGTGATGCAATGACAAGATTGCTTCTTTGCCCAAAAACTTGCCTTGCAGCTCATGTTTTTCATTTTAGGAAATCTAGTGCACTGAGGTCTGTCTGTCAGACAGTCAACAAGCATTTATTAAGTGCTTGATGTGTACTATGCAAAAGAGATACAAAGAAAGGCAAAAACAAAAACAAAAACAAAAAACACTAGCCCTGCCCTCAAGGAGCTCACATTCTGATGGGAGAGGTAGCAGGCAAATAACTATGTTTGTCATCAGGATATTGAAGGCGTCAACAGCAGGTAATCTCAGAGGAGAAGGAATTGGAAATGGAGGTGAGGAGAATCAGCAAATTCCCCAGCAGTTGGAAGGTGAGTGAGTCTTGAAGGAAGCCAAGGTGACTTTTCACAGCCCTGAAAATGTCAGGAATGAGGTAGAGCATTTGAGGCAGAGGGGACAGTCAGTGAAAAGACACAGTCAGGGAGGTACCTGGACCATCCTGTGGGAAGAAACTCAAGGATACAGGTGCTGCTGGATTATGGAATGTGTGGAGGGAAGTAAAATATAAAAAAACTAGAAGAGCATGAAGGGACCAGGGGGTGAAAGGTTTTAAAAACCAAACAAGATTTTATCTTTGATGCTGGAGGTAGCAGGGAGCCATTGGAGTCAACTGGGCAGAGCATGCACATGGTCAGACCTGCACTTTAGGAAGATCACTTTGGCAGCTAGGGATGTTGTGAAGATAACATGTCTGCACAGTAACAGTTTAGATTTGAAGCGTTAAATCCAAGGTTGTGAACTTGATTGACTGGGAGGGTGGTGGTACCTTCGACAGTAACTGGTAAGTTCAGAAGAGGCAAGAGTTTGAGGGTAAAAACAATTTATGATAAGTTACAGATATCTATAGGACATCTACTTTGAGGTGTCTAATAGGCAGTTGTTTATGCTAGACAAGAGGGAGATTAAGACTGTATAAGGAGACTTGAGAATCTTTGCATAGAGGTGATAGTTGAAATCATATGAGCTGACATCACAAAGTGAAGTAATGTAGAAGGAAAAGAGAAGAGGTTTCAGAATAGAGCCTTGGAGGATACTGATAATTGGTGGGCAAGACTTGGAGGAAGACCCAGGAAGAGAGACTGAGAAAGAGCAGTCAGAGAGGTAGGAGGAGAATCAGAAGAGAGATGTGGAACAAAAACCTAGAAAGTGTCCAGGAGAAGAGGGTAATCAATAGCGTCAAAGGCTACAAAGGGGTCAAGAAAGCTGAGGACTGAGAAAAGGTCATAGATTTGGCATCTAGTAACTTTGGAGAGAAGTGTTTGAGTTAAATCATGAAATCAGAAGCCAGGTTAAAAAAGATTTAGAAGAGAGTAAGAAGAAAAGAGGTGGAGGCATTGATTATATAGATGGCTTTCACATAGATTTTAGCTGTGGAAGGGAGGAAAGAAAAAGGATGAGAGACAGGGAGAGATGGATCAAGTGAAGGTGTTTTTGAGGATGGAGACATGAGTTGGTAGGCAGTAGGGAAGAAGACAGTAGAGAGGGCGAGACTGAAGGTAAATGAGAATTGGGATAAAAGAGGGAACAGTCTGCTGGAGAAAAGGGGATAAAGTGGGATCACTTGTACATGTAGAGGAATTTGCCTTGGCACAGAGAAGGGCCACCCCTTCACATGAGATGGGGTGAAGGGAGAGATAATAGTGGAAGTCCTGTGAGTGATGTGAGATAAGGAAGAGGTGAGAAGAGGGAGCTGTCCTTAAATGGTCCTACTTTTTTTTATCCATGAAATATGAATTACACGTGGCTCTCATGGGACAAAGCACGCTTAGAATATGCATCAAACCTAAAGTGCCTCCTTTTGTCATCAAAGTGGGATATGATTGTGTCCAGGGGAGTTTTCATTCTAAATGTCCTTATTGTATCCTAATGTTATATATGGCATATTTGTGTAATATGTAGTATAATATGTAGTATGTGCATCTGGGGCCACCAGTCATCTTGACCTTTGTCTTGTCACTAGACTCTGATGACTCTGAAGGAGAGATCAAGGCTGATGACTTTGTGCAGCTTTGCCCCATTCAAATTCAACTTACGGGCAAGTCAGGACATTATGCTCATGATGTCATTGGTCCTCTTGGAGAATGAAGGACCAAAACCAAAAACAGTAACATAATACAACTCCTGGCACATAGTAGGTGCTTGATAGATGTTTATTGATTGATGTTTAAGAACTCAGTGATAGTAATAACAGCTGGTATTTGTGTGATACTTTGAAATTTGCAAAGTAATTTACACACATTGTCTAATATATGTAAACACCTGATGTATCTCATTGAAACTCTTCTTCCTTTAAGACAGTTGTAACATCACCTTCTTCATGAAGCCCTGCCCAATCTTCCAATTGCTAGTGCTCTTACCCCAATAATCTTGTATTTAACTACCTTATGTTTATTTGTATTTAATCTCTTTATTCTATATGTATATGTGTACATATATACATATGTGTATATATGTGTGTATGCATATATCTATAGACATATACATAAACATAGAAATATTTATTTGTTGTCTCCCACATTAGAATGAAAGCTCCTTTTGAGCAGATATTGGGTCATTCTTTGTTCTCGTATTCCCCCATCCTAGAACAGAGCCTGGAGCATGTTGCTAATTACTAAATGTTTGTCAGCTGATTGACTGAGTTCATAACAACCCATAACAACCCTGAGTTCATAACAACCCATTCAACCTGAAATGAAGTAGGTGCTATTATAACCACTACCAGCAAGGCAACTGAGGCACAGAGGAATACCTTTTAGAGAATCACACAGCTATGTTTGCAAAAGATCTGAGGTAAAGGATTTGTATAATATTGGTTACACAAGGTATCCCAAAAGTCTTAGAGTGGTTTCAGTCTTCAATAGCTTGAAACTGCACAAAGACTTTTGTAATAGACTAAATATACACATACACACATGCATACATATATGCATACATACATATACACACATATATGTAACATGATTCACAGTATGAGACTAGAGGTCAACTCAAAATGTCAAATAGTGAAGTCTAGGCTGCTCTCTTCCATGTGAATTGTGAGGTTTATAGTAAAAGGAGCCATGGACTGGAAGTCAACAAACCTAAGGAGTCTAGTATCTAACTGGCCAAGTGATCTTGGGCAAGTCACTTCTTGTTGGCCCTATATTTCCTCAACAGTCAAATGGCAGTGTTTATTACATTATCTCTCAAATGCCTCCTAGTCACAAGATTCTTTGAATCTTGGACAGTATTTCTATCGCCCCCCCCCCCAAGTCTCCAAATCACCTCTGTCCTTAGAATCGAAATTCTGTGTTCCTTATCCCACCCCCAAAAAGATACAACTGGACCATAGACAAAAGAGGGTTCAGTGAGTTTATTGTCATATTAAGTGCTTAATAAATGCTTGTTGATTCACACATTTTATAGGGAAAAAATAGAAAAATATATCCAAGGTGTATGAAAATTCAGGCTCATACAAATTCTTCTATTTACAGGCACAGGAAGGTGGGAGCATCAGTGGCAGCAGCTGCAAGTCTCCATCTGGGGGGCTTTGCAGACACAGCCCTGGGCACACTTGGCACATCCTGCCGGGCAGCAGGAGCAGCAGCCTGAGAAGGAAAGACAGGAGGTGAGTGTGAGGGAGCCTGGTAGGGCCCAGTCCTAGGGATATAGCTCAGAAGAAATGGAAGGATGCTGTGTTATCAAGTCTCCTAACGGGAAACTAAAAGAATTTTTACAACTGTAAGAAAAGAGCACCATCCCAACTCCCATTTATCCACCTCCAGAATATCCAAATATCTCTGTCATGATAGGCCAGGACAGGTTAATTTAGGCCACAGAAAGTTTCCGCACCTCCACCCTGCCCCACTCCCCCACACATATATTCTTTCTCACTCACTTTTCTTGCAGGAGGTGCATCGACAGGATTTACATTTGCAGGAGCCTGCACAGGTACAAGAGTTACCTGGAGGGAGAGAAAAAGAAAGAGGGAAGGTGAGGAGAGAAAAAGCCCAGAGCACTGCGCAAGCTTAGGGGTAGCAGACACAGGTCAGGAATTCTCCTTTCCCTCTCATTCCCTATGCCTCAGCCCTGATCCTCGATGGTCACCCAGAAGAGTGATCAGACCCGAGGTCTTCCCAGGCTTGCCATAATGAAGCGCTGGATAGACGTCTGCCCCTCTTCTTTTCTCCGCCCCCCAGAAAAGTCTTCTCTCACCTGCAAGGGCCCAGACATAAACCTTGATCCTAACCCCGGCCATCGGTGAGAGCCCCTCATCTGACATTATAGCCCTGACCATAGCCTTCCTTTCTGCTTCTCAGGGAGAACATTTCTGGAAGGGACGCGAAAGCCTGTCCCGTGTTCAAAGCAGGGAGCCCTTCTCAGTTCTATTCCTGTCCCTGGAGCTCTGATTATTAAGCACATTTGTGGTTCAAAGCTTTAACTACAAAGCTGAAGAGGGGAAAAGAAGGAAACTTTCTGTTACTTCATTTTAAAACAAAATCGATCTCCTTCCGCATGACCACAACCTCTTTCCATCTCAGCCCATAGTCCCATCACAAACTAAGCCTGAGTTGTCCCAGCATGGGCGGAGCATCCTTGGCCTGTGGGTGTCTCCAGAACCTAGGAGTCGCTTACCGCTCACGCAGTCACAGTTGGGGTCCATGGCTGGCAGGTAGATGTCAGGCAGGCAGTTCTCACAATAGAAGAATGGGTGGAAGAAAGATGTTGTGGAGGAAAGAGCCAGATGCTCCCATTTAAAGCAGAAGGACCAGGAGAAGGAGTGCAAAGGCCCCGCCCCCTTTCCTTCCCTCGGTCCAAGGCCAGCCTCCTGCACACAGCCCCAGGGTTGTGCTGACTCATGCACTTGGTGTACTTTGGTGAGTGCAGTTCCTGGAACCCAGGGGCTGCGTGCAGATGTCTAGGCTGCCCTGGATCCTGCCTCCCATACAAGAAGGCCTGTGTGCAGAGAACAGAGTACATGCTGCATGACCCCAGTTCTTTTTTTCAGCTCCTGGCTAGCCAGTTAGTCCAACCCAGTGGGACCCAAGGTTATCAGAAAGTGGTCCTTTTGTATCTTCCTTCTTTTAGGGGGAAGAGTTCTGACCATCCCATTCCAAGATTCCTTTCACATGTTTGGCATAGAATTCACTTTTTCCTGTTAAGGGCCTTGATCAAAACCAAGCTTAGGCTCCTACCCTCTGATTATTACCCCATGAGTCCTCAGGGATGGGGATGCCCTATATGTCCGTCTGTCTCCTGGCTTCAGTAGGAACTGCTGACATGGTGAACAGTGTGGGTCACAACAGTGTCTGGGTACATAGGCAGGCAGAGGAGATAATTGGGGATTTGAGGACATGTTGAGAGGTATGGGGAAGGGCATGACTACTTGACTGAATCATCCTCCCACACCCTAACTGGGATATCAGTCTTCATTCTCTCTACACTCTCTCACTGATTATACCAGCTCCCAAGGGTTTGATTCACCTTCTATGTATCTGACTCCCAGATCAATGTGTCTGTTCCTCATCTTTCTCCTGAATTCTGGTCCGGCATCACTGACTGCCTACTGGACACTTCCCTTTAGATGTTCCTTAGGAATCTCAAAGTCAACATGTTCAAAAAACAACTAATTATCTTTGCTCAGAATTCATCCCTCTTCTCAATGTCCTTATTTCTGTTCAGGGCACCACCATCCTTTCAGTCCCTTGGGTTCTCAGCCTCACAAACACCCTCAACTCTTTTCTCTCTCTCATCCCCCTAATATCCAATCCATTGGCAAGTTTCATTTGTCCACCAGTATTTCTTTAGCTGGACTATTACAATAGTCTTCTAACTGGTCTCCTGGCCTCAAGTCTCTCCCCTTTCTAATGCAATGACCAAACAACTGCCAAAGTGATGGTCTTAAAGCACAGGTCTGATCATGTCATTCCCCTGCTCAAAAACTTTAGCGATTCCCTATTGCCCCAAGGATAAAGTACAGACTCATCTGATTGGCATTTTAAAGCATGAGATAGTCTGGCTCCAGACAAACTTTCCAAGATGATTGCACAGCATTCCCACGTTTACACCTTCTAAATTCCAGCTAAGCTGGCCTATGGAATTGGTCCCCATTCACATTCCATCTTGCATTTCTGTGCCTTTGTCTAGACTATCCTCCATGCCTGGAATGTACTCCCTCTTTATCCCGACCTCTTCAAAGCTAAGCTCAAGCCCTGTTGTTCCTCAGTCCTATCTGATTCTTATGAGTCCATCTGGGGTTTTCTTGGCAAATATACTGGAGTGGTTTGCCATTTCCTTCTCCAGCTCATTTTACAAAGGACAACACTGATACAAACAGGGTTAAGTGACTTGCCCAGGGTCACAAAGCTAAGTAAGTGTCTGAGGCTGGATTTGAACTCAGGTCTTCCTGACTCTAGGCCCAGCGCTCTATCCACTGAGCCACTTAGCTACCTCCTGATATGTGTACACATATGTGTGTATGTGTGTATATATGTATATATAGATATATAGATATGTATATATATTTTACATATATATGTATGTGTATGTATGTATGTATTTTCATGTACATTTAGACAAGTGCTTTAGACTAACAATCTGCCCAGAATTGAGAAGCAGAAGAAATTTGGAATGGAGAACATGGGAAAACCATGCAGCCCTTTCAATGATCCAGGAAATAACCCATCTTTTGTTAATATCAACATTCTTCTGGTGAAGCTGTATGATGTTAGAAGAATCAAAATGGGAGTGTCCCACGAGGTAATGAAGAGACCCCTTTGGGTATAAATAAGTTTAAGCAGCAGCAGGAAAAGGGGCAGGAAAGCTGCTTTTCAGGCTAACAGGATAGCTAATGATGTTGCCAGGAGTGAAGGGCATTTCATGGCTAGCCTGAGAGCTGCCCTGGCATTCTCTGGATATTAAAAGAAACAGAGGAAGGCCTACATAACATTGGAAGGATTTGCAGAAAGATATGATGGGCAAAAGTGGCAGAGGATGAGGTGAGGAAGAGTCCTACTTCCACCAACCCAGGGTAGACCTACACTGATATCAAAGATTGAGCTAAATCAATTTCCCCACAACACCCAAGCCAGTCCAAAGCTGCTCATGGTACAGAGGGGAGGCATAGTACAATACACATAGACATAGTACATAGTACAATCAGAGAATCTGTGTTCAAATCCTACCTCAGACTCTTACTACCTGTATGGCAAGTCACTTAACCTCTCTGGGCCTCAGTTTCCTCATTTGTAAAACAAGAATGTTGAACCTGATGACCTTTCCTCTTCTAAATCTGTAGGTCTGTTTTCCTAACAAATACTCCTGGATGTGAAAGTGAGGCAGCTGCCATAGAAGGTCCCTCAGGATTGTTGGGTCAAAGCTGACAAGCTGAGAGGGTCTGTGTGACTTGGAGGCTTCTGAATGAGGGAGAAGCCTCCCTCTTGCCTTGCTCAGTGAAACTTTGAAAGATGGATGATCAAAGATGAAAAACTGGAATGAATCTATGATCTCCCTGAAATGGAGGCAAAGGAAAAGGGGCTTTTTCCCCCTAGAGACTGAAATTTTGAGGAGTGGAAAATCAGGTTAAGTCTTCCCAAGATTGCCTCATGGGGAAGAATAGCTTTCTATTGATATCTCTTTATCTATTTCTCTATATCTCTCTATTTTTGTCTCTTTTACTTTGTCTCTCATTCTGTCTTTATTTTTCTCCTTGGGTCTCTCTCATGATTTTTGCCCTTCACACTTTTTCCATCTGTATCTCTTTCATTGTCTCAATCTGTCTCTTTATCTCTCACTCTCCATTCCTCGTTTTTTTTTTCTCTCCACCTTTTTTCCTGTCTCTTTGAATCTTGGTTTTGTCTCCCCTCCCCTCCTCCTCAGTTCTCTTTCAACCTCTGTCTCCTCCATCATGTTGCTCTGAGGTGGGAAGCACTATGTTCCCACTTTTGTCCAGCACAAGGACTGAAGGAAGCCAAATCAAAATGAAGTGGGAAGCCCAGAAGTGTGTCGTCATCATACCACAGTGAAGGAAAAAGCCACACACATTCCTGGAAGTTACCAGGTGAACAGAATCAACAATCCAGCTCTTAAGCTGTTGAAGGGAAGTTAAGTAATGAATGCTGGGAAAAACCCAGGAATAAAGGAAAGGGGATGGGGGAAGAAAAGCAAGTTGAAAACAAGTTGTCCTGCTTGAACCTTACGAGAGAGAGAGAGAGAGAGAGAGAGAGAGAGAGAGAGAGAGAGAAGTGATGGAATAATACCCCTAATTCTTTTGCCAGTAAATTACCTGATAGTTCGATTTTTTCCACTCCAAGAACAACAATATACATGTGAAGGCAAATGCAGCCCATTGAGTGACTCACACTGAGTAATCAGTCCATTGTAGTTTATGGTTCATTGAGATGGGATGCTCAGAAAGAGGATCCTGAGGCTTTGCCTAAAGTGCCTCAGTGTCACACAGGTCAGAAGGTAATGTGCTCAGAAGAGTTTTCAATGTGTCCTTCGTGGTGAACCAGCAGTGGGACTTGCATTTGTAGGAGTCTATACCAATTCCAGAGCCATAAAGGCAGGGAAGGGAATGAAGAGGAGATAAGATCAGAGGAGAGACAAGCTAAAAGGAAGAGAGAGGAGCAGAACAGGGGAGGAGAGGGGAATGTTGGGAAAGAGTAAAGGGAAAGGGGGAGAGAAGAGAGGAGGGAAAAGGAGAAGAAAAGAGAAAGACAAGGAAAAGAGAACAGGAGAGGAGGAGAAGGGAGGAGAAAGGAGGGGAAATGGAGGGAGAGGGAGGAGAGGTGAAAGGAGTAGAGAACTGGGGGGGAGGGAGAAGAAAGAAAAGAAGAGGAGAGAGGAGGAAGAGGGAAGGGAGAGAAAAGCTTCAGGGTAAGAAATAAATATCTGAGATTCTCTTTTCCATCCCATTTCATTTTATCAACTCATAGTCACCAAGAAGAGGTTCAAGAATTAATACCTTTTCCAGTCTTGCCTTAATGAACCAATCACTAGGTTTCTACTTCCACATACTTCCACCCTGTTTCTGGCCAAGCAGTCCATCTTTCCAGGACCCAGTATTACCAGAAACAGATACTGATATAGTCATATCCTTCTATCAAGGGAGATAAGTTCAGACATTTAACATCTGAATTATTAAGTAGCCATGGCAACAAGGTTTTTTTTTTTTTTCCTTCCAGAGAACCTGTTAAGAGCCAGGCTCAGATTTCTATCTTCACAGTGCCCCCTAAGATGCCCAAGCTGATGAATCTCCCTGGCCTCAGTAAACAGGACTCTTCCCTTGGACTTTTGTGCTTTTTGGACATGGCCATCAGTATTTTTACACTTGAGGTCTTTGAGTATGGACAAGGGTGGGGATTGTACCTGACAACTCTCACTCTTTCTTTGACAACACATATGTAAATGTATTGAACAAATGGAGTTAAAATGTATATTGATCATATTGGGGAAATTTTCGTTCACAATTATGCAAATTGTTGTTCATCAAGGGTCCTAGAAGGTCCCTTACATCTCCAAATGCATGATCCTAAGAAATAATCCCTTTGTTTTTGGAACTTAGCTTTAAAAATTTCTAAGAGTCTGTCAAAATCACCTATTTTACAGAGAAGACAAAGGGAAATAAACAGGGCTAAGGTTCATGAGAGGGAAAAGACTGAACTCTGAGACCTGAAGAGAAAGGTGTGTGGCTTATAGGGAAAGGATCTCAGAGAAGATGGTACAGAAGAATAATGCCTTTCTAGAGGACCTATTGGACTATTTTTTC